AAAACTGTGCCTTGAAACACATACGTGTATGCAGGAAACGAGTCCATACGACGCTGGCCTCATTCAGTTCCTTGTCACTTTGCTTGTGTGGTGTCGCTCTATGCCATGAAAACTCAGGCAATCTCAATGGCATGCAGTATGGGCTGCTATTCTGTATTGGGAATTAATATTTAATATCGATCCCTGAGGAACGCTAACTGATGAGCTGTGTAACACAGCTGGTAGAAAGGCTATCTTACCTCCTGCTCGGGGGGATCTCTGCCAGAATAGGTCATTTAAACAGGAGGAAGCATTACAAAATTTTGATATGCAGAATAATTAAATCCTTGAAATATAAAAACTCTCTTTAAAAGAAGAAACGTGTTGAAAACGTGCTGTGTCACAGTTAGGACTTAGCCAACAAAAGCAGCAATGGACAACACCTGGAGTACTGACTCGAGCCCGTATATAAAGAGAAGAACAGTGTTTATAATGACATCTGCTTTGAGCACGTAAGTTTGCCATGTCAGGAAATATACAGATAGAATCATGCTTCCGACCGTTATCACAAGGCTGAGCCCTAATGGAGCCTCTTCTTCTGTCAGGTTACCCTTTGAACCTTGGAGGGAAACAAAAAGCTGATATGAATCTTTGATTTATTGAGACAACACTCAAAAAAGGCTCTATTTGTAACAGCTCAGGGTACGTAGAAATACTGCCCTGAATCAAGGCACAGTCAGTAAATTTAAGAATAAACCCAAAGATCAATGGACAACCCATTTCTTGCTGACTGAAGTTAATCTGAATGCAGAGAAACCAGCTGACACTCCAAGTCAAAAAACCTACCTTTTCTTACTACAGACAAGCAGTCCTGAAGCCGCAACCATTCTGATTGCTCAGTCTGACCTTGGCTAAGCATGAGACTTCCACCCAACAACCCACAGCCCCACATCCAATGTGGCAATGTGACAGCATTTAAGGACATCCAATGCTGATTTTAAAATCTTACACAATTGAGTCTTCTATATACTCTAGTAATCTATTCCTACTTCAAGTTCCTAACGTTGCGAAGAAGCTGCACTTATTCTTTCCTTACATCTTATTTCTGAGCTTGCCTTGGTAGATTTTGCTGTTTAATTACATGAGACTTCAAACTTGCTTTTTACTCATCCATCAGGCTCCAAGCAAATAAATGCAGAAAGCTTTAAGGCAGCAGGCTATGCATTCAGCCCTACAGCAACGCAGCTGTGTTCAACAGACCCGCCTTGTGTAAATATCTGAGGAATATTTAGCACAAATTTTAATAGTAATTTTAAACCTTGCTTAAAAGAAAGGACTTCAGCTAGCATTGGATAGAGATTAGTAGGATTCCAAGCAGACCCTCTTAATTGTTCTGGCATACTGAAGTGAAGATGATAGAAGTGACATGTGTCTTTAGAAGAAGTGAAGGGCAAAGCTGCAGTCACGGTGGCAGCCAGGGGCTTCTTAGGGCCATACTTAGTACTACCTGTTCCACAAGGCTCCAGCCATCTGGTTACCATTGTACATTTCTGGAGCAGCTGAAAGGAGCTCTATCACTTCACTGTATGGAAATCTCTGTGTTTCAGCATGTTCATTCTCATGAGCAGCACTGATGGTAAACAGCGTAGCAGCATTCCAGCTGTCCCATTTACATTGCTGCCTGACAGCCCAGCTATTGTCTTCATATGGCATTACAGATCATACATCATATGACAGCAAATTCTATACGACCCTCTAGGCAAATATGTCGACCAGATAAAGTTTAGTAACATAAATGAATGAGCCTCCAAAAATCTGCTTGTCTGTTAAACTGACACGTTCTCACACCCAACTCTATTTCAGAACGATGAATGCTTAAAGATTCTATTCCCCCTGAAAAGGCACAGTGATAGCATGACATACCCAAGTACAGCCGCAGCGCTTCCAGAACGGCCATGATGCAGATCAATGCAAGATCAGGAGCCAAAAAATCATCTGGATAACTGAAAACTTGACCTGTAGAATAGCACGGCATAAATAAGCCAGAAGAACACAGTAGGGATACCAGCAAGACACAAATGCCTCATGACCAAGCAGCTTACTTCTGGTTGCAACTTACTTTTATAAATAATCATCGCAAGTGTCACCACGAAGTAAAAGATGTAATAAAACCCATTTATATAAAATAAAATCTGTAAAGGAACAGATGAGAGCTGGTAACTGTTGTTAAGGAGTTATGAGATGGTGGGCTCCATTTCATAAAATAACCAGTTTCTAGTAACCTCAGAATATTCTCTGTGCCTCCTTATACTAAATGATTCAACTATGCCTGGCCTATGGGGTAGGTTTCAAAAAGTAACTGGAGACTGCAAACACCAGGAGCTAGGACAACAGCTTGCTGTTGTACGTTTGGTTTTTGTTTCTTTTCAGGTTTATTTTAGTTTCGGTTGTAGAGGGATATTCATTAGCCTAAGGAAATGAGGGGAGAGTGTGCATGCATGCATTTCCCCTGACAATTTCTGTACCTGTTGGCTGGCAGAGGGCTGGCATGCTCCGATATACCTAATTCCTCCACGTTTTTGAAAATACGTGGCTCTGTGAAGCAGACAAGCCCTATTATTGCCTGCATGACGGAAAGTCTGAGAGCTGAGCTCAGCCTTTGTAATGTGTCTGAGAAAGGCCACAAGCTCAACTTTGAGATGTAAATTTGTAACATAGATTTTCTTAATTCACTGCTCACAAAACAAAGCGTTGTATGAGGTGATATTTAGCTCCAGTTATTTCTGTCAACCTGGCTCTGCTGAAGGTATTTGAAATATCCACAATCCTTAACACATCCTCAAAATGCCTCTGAAGGGCAGGGAACATGGCAAACACCGATGTACAAATATGGAGAACTTACAGGCTCAGAATATTCTCACCTGCAGCCATCCTAACATGAAAAACATGGTAAAATTATGCCTCTGCTCTGAATTCATTACCGGGGCTCCCCCTGGAGTCAGCCCAGAAGAAAACCTTCATAACCAAGCAGTTAAACTAAATTACCAGCCCATCTCTCTCTTTGGCCATGAAAGCCATTTAAATGCTTAAGTTTATATGAGATACCCAACAGACGCCTTCAGGACGCCACCCTCTCAACGGGCAAGTACAATTCCTACATAGCAGGTACACACACACTGAGGGCATCGCTCCTGAGGCACAGCAGCACGTTATGAATGTAATACAGAAAGCATGAAGGGCATCCTGGGGTTCGCTGCTATATGGGAAAGCTGCAGCGCGGCTCAAAGAATCCAGAAAGTTTTGGCCATTCCTATGTGCTTTTAAAAACAAAATTATACCAGTTGTTTTTCTTAGTCTTCAATAAGACAAGGCAATTTATACAAGGAACTTATCAGTACAGAGTTCATTACTTTGAGCTGCCTCAAGGCATTCTTTATCCTCACCTCTCTCCTCAGTCCTTCTCAGATACTGTCTCTCTAAGCAGGCACTCTTCATCCCAGGCACCTTTTACAGGAACAACCCATCCGGTTTTTGAAGAGAGCACCCACCCACGCGCAGTGAATACCTTCCAGTTCCCAGAGAATCTCTATTCAAACAGAACCAGGTTTTTGTGTTTTTCCAGTTGAAGGGAGGTGGAACAAAAAAATTACTAAACGGGTTCTAAGTATGGAAATCTCTGAAGACAAGGGTGTCTCCTTTAGGAGGCTACTCAGATCATGGGAAAAGATAGAGTGAGAAGAGGAAGCTGCTTTACTGCCTCTTGTTGGCTGTGCAGAAACAGCTGCCTGCAGTGTGCTGAGTGAACCTTGTGTCTGCATGTCCACAAAGCCAATCTGCAGCCTTGCTTCCAAAGGAAATGAGTTAGACAATCAGAAAGTGCTGGCCAGCCCTCTGTCAGGCCTGCAGGCTGGGTAAGAGCTTGTGCTTCATGTGGGTGGTGGTGACGGAAGCCTCACAGGGTAACAAACACTAAAAAAAAGGATACAGCTGATGAAGTTCTTCCTTTCCGTTGAAAAGAAAAAAGAGAGCATAAGATGAGCCCAAATATTTACCGAAAGCACTGCAGCAACATTCTGCCCAGAATTTCCTTACCATACAACAGCAATAGTCCACGAAAACACCTACTAAGTAGCCCTTAACAGCCGCAGCCCCTTCCAGAGGCACGGAAAGCCGTAGGCCCTACGTGGCTGTACCATCGCACTGCCACCAGCGTCCCAAGGCCCATTTCCCCTCACAGTCGGGCCCGGCGAATCCCCCATTAGCCCTGGTTAAGGTGTTTAGGAACGCAGTGCAAACAGGCACGCCATGTTACACTGTGAAATGCTGCTGGTTCCGCGTAGGCACAACGCTGCACGGCGCTCACCTCTCCGCACGCCCGCCATGCCGGCCCCCTCCCCCGCCACCCACCAGTCCTCCAGCATCCCGGCAGCCCCCGCGCCGCGGCCGTTCGTGCCGCCCCGCCTCTCTCCCTTCGGCTGCGATCGGAGCGCTCGGCCCGGTTCGGTCGCTTTCGGGCGGCTTCGGGCAGTGCCCGTTCGGGAGCCGCCGTTCGGGACGGCGAAAGGGAATTCGGGCGCGCTCGGAAAAGATTCGGCACATCTCGGCTTTCCTCGCGACCGCCTCACCCGCCTTCGGGCGGGATCGGAAAAGACTCGAGCGGACTCGGGATTCTTCGACTCCGCGGGCCGGACCGCTCGGGGACTCGGCCGTGTTCGGGCGGGCTCGGGAGCTGTCAGGTATCGCTTCGGGCCGCGCCGCCGCGGCCTCGGCCGCGTCCTGCGCTGCGATTGGCCGCCGGCAGGAAGCGCGGGCCTGGCGCCTCGGGACGCGCCGAGCCCCTTCGGACGAGGCCTGAAAGGACTCGGGACGCTTCGGGCCGCATCGGAAACGCTCGGTTCGACCCGGGGAGCGCAGTCGGAAACGTTCGGCACCGCTCGGCGGGAGCGCCCGAGCGACCTCGGAGCATCGCCCCCCCCCCCAAACCGGCGGCGCTCGGGGGGGGAGCGGCAGGGCTCGGGGCTGCTCGGGCGGGCTGGGCCCCACTCCCTCCCATCACGTCCTCGCATGGAGGACGCCGACTCGGCGGCCAAGCGGCTGGGCTTAGCGGAGGCGGTGGCGGCCGCGGTGGCAGCGGCGGCGGCAGAACCCGAGCGGCAGCAACCGCAAAGCTCGGAGGGGAAGGCGGAACGGCGGGAGGAGGTGACGGCCGTGACCGTGATGGCGGCGGACGCCGAGCACATCGAGATGGGCACCGAGCCGCTGCCCAGCGCCGACGAGGCCGCCGCGTTCGCAGGTCAGCGCGGGCCGCACTGCGCATGCGCCACTCACCTCAGCGCAGCCCGCGCTCCGCGCTGCCCGGGGCCGCCTCAGTACGGGCAGCGCCGCCTTCTCGCTGCTTTCACCGCGCTGAGAGACCAGCAGCGGCCCGCCCGAAGTCACTGTGGCCCTGTGTGCAAAATTCCCGTTCAAAAGTCATATCAAAACGCAGCCACGCGTTGGTCGCTGGGTCAGGTGTAAGGCGGAGCCTAAAAATGCTCAGAGTTTGTTCTGCTCTTCTGCCCGTTCCCTGCTTTAATAAAAAGAGAGTGGTTCTAGAATAAATAAACGTTTTCCCCCTTAGTTCATCACAGGTTAAGCTTTGCTCAACCCAAAGCCTGACAGAGAACAGTAATTAATATTTGCACTGACTGACACTCAATGGGAAAAAGAGGGAATGTACTTCTGTGGGGTTCACATACTGGGTCTGCTTTGCTTCATTTCTATTTTGCATTCCAGAAGTCACCACAGTAACAGTGGCCAACGTTGGTGCCTCTGCAGACAACGTGTTCACCACATCCGTGGCAAATGCAGCATCCATTTCGGGACACGTGCTGGTAAGTCAGCCCTTCGTCCAGGAGCCTTGGAGCACCATGACTTCATTGGCGTGCACACGAGGTCAGAACGTGTGTATGCTGCAAGGCTTTGAGCCACAGAGCCATCAGATGAGGCACCTGCAGTGCTTTCCCTTTGTCTTTTCTGTGCCATTCTACCCATGTATGTGCACTCCGTCATGGAGCTGATGACCTGGGATGTGTAACCTTTCGACGTAGTTGGCTGAAAGCTCAAAAATATACTTGCTAACTAATGGTGTCTTAGGGTACCTTTCAGAGATCTGCAGGAGTACTCATTTATTTATTTTTTCCTTTATTTCTTCTGTAGTCTGGGAGAACGGCCCTCCAAATTGGGGACAGCTTGAATACTGAGAAAGCCACTCTCATAGTTGTTCACACAGATGGCAGCATTGTGGAAACCACGGGGCTGAAGGGGCCGTCAGCACCCCTCACACCAGGTATAAGGCAGTCTGAGAGTCCTTCTCCAGCTTCCTCTTTGCTTTATTTGTGTGACTGAAAAACAAGAGAAACATCACACACATGACGTGAAATTGCATTGTACAGTCAGTCCCCTCTTAACATACTGCTTTTTCATTTGTTGCATGCCTTCCTAACCCACCCCCAAAAGCAAATTGATTCTAGTATTGATAATAAAAGCCTGGAACTAGGAGATTAATACCTGGGTTCTTTATAAAGAGCCCTTTGGTTGAGATGGTTTTGTCTTCATTCAGGCCTTTTGCTGATTAATTTAAAATCAATTAAAATTTAATTGTGACTGTAGCTGGTGACCTTCATCACCAAGGTTGTTCCCAGCTGCCTGGCAGTCCCCGTTTTGCCCACGAGATGGCATGACAAGCCTTTTGCAGGCAATTACGCATTGCACGTTGTCCTCTAGGAGGTGATCCAGCCAGCTGCAAGTTACAGCCTGAGTGCGTTAAAAGCCTGTTTTCTATTGCTCTATTTCCAGCCATTTTCAGAGTGTTACTTTATGTTATACTTCTTGAGGCTGGCAGGGCAGACCCATGACTCTAGCTTACATCAAGCATCTGTTCCAAGCAATTTTCTTGTGGCATGCTGACCACGGGATGCATTTGGCCCAGCCAAACTACGTGTGAAGATGTTGTCACTGTGCCTTTTGGTTGCTGTCATCTTCCTTTTTTTTTTTTTCTTTTCCCCAAAGGACCGCAATCTCCTCCTACCCCTTTAGCAACTGTCCAAGAAAAAACTGGAACCAAGTATAACTGGGACCCATCTGTGTATGACAACGAGCTCCCAGTGAGGTGCCGGAATATCAGTGGGATTCTGTACAAAAACAGACTCGGCTCAGGTAAAAACAGCCTTTTGTGTGAGGAAGATGGCTCCTTCTTCACTTCCTGCACTTTCTTTTTAATCAGATTGCCTTTTAAAGGCCAATCATAAAGAAGATAAGTATGTTTTCCTAGTTAGCATAGTCCCATGGATATTACTGTTCTCTTCCCTTTTGCTTCCTTGTTCTTTATTCAGAGGCTTTTAATCTGTGAAGATACAGCCTGCTGTACAGTGAGTCTTCCCAATAGTAGGCTGACTCTTCCAATGTTCCTTTTGTGGACCTCTGAGAAGTACACCCTTGTCTCTACAAAGCTCTGCAGAATCCCTGCTGGATTGGAAAGTAGAGAGCTTGTCTTCTAATGAGCCTCCTTAGCTGTCTTAGCCTCTCTCTTCATTTTCATCTCTGAGGGAAAGCTGAAGAAGCCGTTGCACAAACTGTCAGCAAGCCTGACTGCATAGCACAGTGTTTGCTTTGTGGAAAGAGTTTACTTCGTGACCAGATGGATTAGAAATTTTTGCAAAAATTATGGAAAGGTTTAAATTTGTGGTAGGATAAGAAAGACTTATCCTACATGTGAATGAGTAATATTTTCTAGCCTATAGAATAGCCTACGTAGCCTATTCTGATTCACAGAATTGGAATTCACTTCACGCACAGTCATTGTCACAGCCAGGCTAAGAAACAGGCATGCTTATCCTTCAGCGATGGGAAGCAGCAGATGAGCAGGTTGGGTAGTTACTGTACATTACTTGCTGTTTTGCTCAGTAATTTCATAGAGTCACAGAATACCCTGAGTTAGAAGGGACTCACAAGGATCATCAAGTCCAACTTGCCATTCACCAGAGCTTGCAGAGCTCTGGGGCTGCTCTCCCTCCTTTGCTCCCCACTCTGTACACAGAGCAGAGGACTGCCTTGTTCTAGGAGCAGAATCTGGCACATATGCGTGTTAAACTTCATGCAGCTCGTCATTGCCCAGCCCCTCTCAATATTCCTTAGAAAAATTGAAAAGTAATCCTTAGCCTTTACTAATGCTTTTATTTTTTTCTTCTTAATATAGGAGGCCGTGGTAGGTGCATTAAGCAAGGGGACAATTGGTACAGCCCCACTGAATTTGAAGCTATGGCAGGACGAGCCAGCAGCAAAGACTGGAAGAGGAGCATTCGCTATGCTGGGAGGCCCTTGCAGTGCCTTATTCATGTAAGGTTACGTTTATTTTCTTCTGTCTGCTGGAAGGGGCAGGGCAGAGTGCCCTGCAGTCTGAGCTGTGTTCAGAGTTGTGTGCGGGGTGAAGGAGAAGCAACTTATTGATTTGGTTGAGGGGAACTGGCCTTTCTTTTATTGTGTAGGGCCCCCCAGAAGGGAATTAGTGTTTATTTCTCCCTGGGAGCTGCCAGAATCTTTGAGCAGAGCACAGTTTTGCTCTCGCTGCTTTTGGCGCCTGATGTTGAATTTGTAATCTTCCAATTTCAGGATGGGATTTTAAATCCTCACGCTGCCTCTTGTACTTGTGCTGCCTGCTGTGATGACATGACTCTGGTGAGTTGTAGGTTTTATATCCATTAGTTTAAAAACAATTCATCAACCAAGCTGCCACGGCCATCTGTGAGCAGGTCGGGAGTGTCCTAGAAACACTGACAAGTACTGAGTGTTTCCATATTAGGCTGCTTGCTTTTTTCTGAAATGATGCTGGAGTTGTTAAGCAGCAGTGTTTAACTTCACTTCAAGCACTGTTTTGTACTCTTCTGCTGTGAACTGGATGGTTTCCTTGTTGTCTAGACCTGAATCCATATGCTCCCCATCTTCTTTCACTCTTATTTCTTTTCTTCAACCCTTTGGATCAGTAGTGAAGGATTTGCCCCAGTTCTTGTCTTCTCATAACAGTGGGAAAAAGCTGAATCTGAGTGCAACTTTTTTAATCATAGAGGCTTTTTGGTTTGCAGGTCCAATAGAAACTTTTTGGTCAAATTGTTACAAATCTACCATGGGAATACTTACTGCTTAATTGTAGCTGCATCTGGAGAGGTTGGAGTGAACAGATATTCCCCTAAGAGGTGCCTCAGCTGATGTCTTTTTCTCCTTTTTTTCCCCTAGAGTGGACCTATTCGACTCTTTGTACCATATAAACGACGAAAAAAAGAAAATGAAATGTCTGCAAATCCAGTCAAGAAGGAATCCTCCAAAAATATCACTTTGCTTCCTGCCACAGCTGCTACTACATGTAGGTTCTTTGCTCCTGATAAAAATGGCCGAGCTAGATACCGTTTTGTATTACCAGTGGTCAACTGAGAAAAATGTATTATCTCTTGGCACTTCCTTTTGTATGTCCTTTAATATCTGGTGGGGCCATGTGGTAAGATTTGTGCTATTGAAATACATGGAAAAGTAGACGCTGAGCAACTGTAATGAAATCCACAGTCTGGAAGCCGTTAGTGAAAGAGGCAGAAGGTGATGCTTTCATCTGTAGGCTCCTCGCTGGCGTTCAGGACTCGCTTTGTCACTTCATGTTTTTGAAGTCAAACCATCTGTGTGAGAACAGAAATTAATTTGCAGGCTGGTCCAACTCACAGGTTCCCTGTCACATTCTTGTCCTCCTGTTCTCATCATCTGGACAATAACATTACAAAGTGAGCTGAGGAGAAAGCAACAGGAATACAAAAAAGAACTGAGCAAGCCAAGTGTAAGATTAGATTACTAGCAACAGCAGGAGGAGAAATGCATAAGGATTCTGCAGAGATTTTGTTGCTTCCATTCCCCAAAACAGTTTTAGTCTGTACTGTTTTGTGAACATGTGCTGCTGGGGACTGCATGCTTGCTTGTGCTAACACTGGGAGGGAGCAGCACTGCTTGTCTTGTTGGCAGCCACATCTTTCCTCAGAAACAAAAATGTAGCCTCAGTGTCTTAGAACTGAACTGTTTGTAAAAAGGTTTTTCAGGCTGAGCAGTGCTCCACGGCATCAGCCCCTTAGTGGTGCTGGACTAACCCAGCTTAAAAAGGGTTTTAAACACTTTGGAGCTGCACTGCTACTTTCATCCAGATGTTCTTTGTGACTTGTTCCCTGCACTAGCTGAGCATGCTTATGTCACTCCGGGCACATGGACAGTTGAACCTGTCCAGTAAACAAACTGTCACAGAATTAGCTGTAATCCAAGGGGTTTTTGAATTAATTTTCAAGCAGTAGGAGCCATTCTTCTTAAAGTTCTGTAGTATATTTGGGCCAGCGATGTCTTGAGAAGCCGCGCGGGGCTTTTATTCCCATTTCTGATGTTAGTGGCCTTGGGGGGGATCCAAACTTGGCTGTCACATCCCGTTGACTGATCTGTGAGTTCTGTGACTTTGGGAGCAGGGATCTCAGCAGCTAGACAGCCGAGGCCTGAGCAGTGAGTGCTGATTATGAAAGTGCTTCTGCTATTTCCAGTCACCGTGACTCCTTCTGGACAGATCACTACCTCTGGTGCTCTCACCTTTGACCGCACGTCGACGGTGGAAGCCACAGCAATTATCTCAGAAAGTCCAGCCCAGGGGGATGTTTTCACAGGAGCCACTGGTAAGGATTGGGCTGCATGCCTGCTTGGCATCCATGAGAAGGTAGGAAAAGAAGAAGCCTCTTGTATGCTGCATGAAGGATTTTAATTTTAAGAGCTTACACAGATGCTGTACATAACCTGCTGTCACAAGAGAAGTTTGAATGTCTTGTCCAGATGCTGCAGCTGCTTTTGTACACCTCTGTTGATTTCTTCGGTTTTATGGTTATCTCTGTGTTTTTTTGGCTTTTTTTTTCTTTGCAACTTGTTCATCCTGAAATACTGCCCAAACAAGTGTTTAAACTGAGTGGAAAACACTGAATATATGCTAGAAAATAGCAGAATAAATCAAAGAAAATAGAAATGCTTACCATAAATTTCAGCTCTTTCAGTCTAATTCCTGTATGTGGCTGTGGGTTCTGCAGAGAAGCTGAGAGAGCTAGCATCCTCTGAGAGTAGTAGCTTGAAGTCCTTCTATCAGTGTAAAATAAAGTGTGTGAGGAGGAGACTGGCAATAATCTTTGCAGAAGCCTTGAAATCAGTGCACAGTTGCTTTGCTTGGTGTCCACGTGAAATCCTGCTGCTGGTTCTCATTTGCAACCTCTGGAATTACCACAGAGAATAGGAACCTGAAGAAAACGTGAAAACAAAAAACCAATCCCAATTGGTGAAAGAAGTTTCAGACATGCCTGAAAGCTGTGCCATGCAGTGATCTGTAACGCTGCTGTTCTCCTGCAGTTCAGGATACCAACGTCCAGCAGCCGTGCCGGGTCACCCACCCAGAGCCTCACTACCCGACTTACCAGGACAACTGTCAGATTTCACCTTTCCCTGAAGCTGCGCTGCCAACGTCTCATCCCAAAATCGGTAATGCTCTGTGTCCCTAGTGTTAGTCGCAATTAGCAGTGCCTGGATTTAGGTGGTAACCTTCTTTTCCAGCAAGAGGTAGAGATTGAGCCAGGAAAATAGACTTTAATTTTTTCCTTACGAGTTTCACAGTTAAGATTTGGATGAAGAGATTTTTCTTCCCCCGTGCTTTAGGCGCTCTGTTATTGACATTTTGATTTGTTGGTTCTTACTTGTGATCTTGTTTCCTAAATGTTGTTTCCTGCTCAGAAGCTGCCTTTCAGAAGGCTTTTGCTTCGAAGATTTTGTCACTGCTTGGGTGCTGTGGGTGGGTATGTATTTAATCTTCGATCCAAGAAAGCCATCTCCTCACTTAGATTTAAAGCCAGACTGTAGGAGCCTTTCTGAAAATTTCCACATCTGTTTTTGAATCCACTAGCTTAAGGTGGAGGCAGTTTGGAGCAGGTTTGCTGTGCTACTCTTGTGTCCCATGTCAGTTTTCCACGTGTTACTGCTGACACTTGTGCTGGAATGATAGAAGCTGGTTAACGAAGGCGATGGGAGTCTGCCCTTCTGCAGGCAGGTTGCTGTAAAAAAGAAAAGATGATACAAGAAGCAACATGCAAATCCTTTCAGTAGGACAGGATACGTTGATGTTCAGGTCGATATCTCTTCAGATGTAATTAAATCACGTGAACTTAATGATCTTTCATTTTCTTGCTTATACAGAGCAGCAGAATGCATTCCTGTTCTGTCCAGAATGCAATCTTGTTGGTTTTAAGCCTCACTCAGCTCTTGATGCTATTAATTAAACACTGATTATTTTTCATCCATGAAACAAAGATCATTACTTTTTCTTGGCTGATACAGCTCTGCTAAAATGAATAGTCAGAAGTAATTCCTGTTAGATAAGTTATCAAATACTGTGCTGTGATAAATACTCTTCTGAAAATGCAGCAGAGGAAAACATTCTTCTGCAAAAAGTTAATGATAAAAGACTGATTTATCTTGACTCATACAGAAGTGCAAATAGTTCTATGCCAATTCATGGGAATGGAGCAAAATTACTGTTTTAATTAAGGGCCGTTGAGTGTAGAATATCAGCTCACCTGTATGATGAATCTTCAGTGCTGTCTGAAAACTTTGCACATCCCGCACACGGTGACAGTACAGTGCTTTTGGACTTATTCCCTTATCTCCTGTGGATTCTTTCAATTTGCATGAGTATTTATTGCTAAGAGTTTGATTTTGGAAAATCAAACCCAGCAAAGCCAGATGAAATTTGTTCCTGGATTTGTTAACTGATGTGAGCTGGAACTGCGTGCTGTTGGAATCCTAAATCCAGGTTTTCTGGTGCAGCCTTTGGAAAATGGAGGACTGCAGAGCCACAGTAAGAGAGGGGCTCAGGGCTAAGCAAGGAAAGTGTGATTAGGTACCAGGAGAGGAGGTCACGTTTTTTCTGGTGGCTTCCTGCTTGATACACTCAGTCTGTAGTTACTGGCAGGGCCACGGTCAGGGTGTGAAAAAACAAAGGCTGCAGCACCTCACTAGTTTGGGGGTCTTTTAATGTGACTTTTTGTATGCTTAGGAGAACTACTGCTGGGTTTCTTTAACATTCATCTTCGTATCTGTGTCATTCTAGATGATACAAGAGAAAACAAGTGAAGGAGTCCAAAGAGATTACAGCAGTGGAGGATTTCTTTTTAGGAGCATCCAAACTGGTGGTTTTGGAGACTGCATGTTCATGTCATACATGTAATCTGGAGTAATGATAACTGTCTTGGTTTTATCCCAGTTGTCAGCCACAGTTATTGTAAGATCAGAGTTCAGGAAGTGTTAGGTGTGAACCTTGCAACAAAACAAGAAAATCACTTTATGGAAATGCAGTGGAAACCCATGGAAACCCTAATTGTTTGTATTTTATGTTCCTTTTTTTGTGCTCAGTGTTGACCCCAATCCCTGCCCTGTCGGTGCCCCCCCAGACCCCCACCAAAGCCATATCCCCAGCTGTGGTGAACGGGCTGGAAGTGACGGAGCAGCGGAGCTGGCTCTACTTGGAAGAGATGGTCAACTCGCTGCTCAACACGGCGCAGCAGCTCAAGTCTCTCATCGAGCAGGCCAAGCAGGCCAGCTCCTCCTTCCGCGAGGCCGCTGTCACACAAGCCAAGATTCAAGCTGATGTGGAGAGAAAAGAGGTAATTACGCCGCAGGAGGTGAGATGGGGCATCTTTTTGGCAGAGTGCTGGAGGCCTTTTCCAATTGTAATGATTCTGTGATTTTATGGGCTGTACCCCACTTTTTTCCACTGGGAAGCCTCTGGTAACCCTTATAAATTGTTTCTTAATGTCTTGAGAGCAGAGAAAAAGGTAAGTTATTCCCACAGTAGAAAAAGGAGTGGAGTACCTGGGATTCCAGCAGCTGTGGGTAGCAGTAATTCGGTTGTTCGTTGTTACAAGTCCTGAGCTCTGCTATCAGACACTCATACACTTAGGAGGCATGGTTTGCCGTGTGTCCTGGTATCGGGAAGATCATGAGTGTTCAGCCCTGCAGTGGCTGCTTTCATTCTCTCAAGTGAACAGGGCTATCAGATAGGCTTTTGATGGCCTGAAGAGGCAGAGAGGTAATAAGAGCAGCAAGCTGTGGAATTTACTGGGAAGATTACCAGCAAAATTTAGAGCTGTCCCACTGAGCATTGTGCAAGCGAAGCTGATCTCTCTTGTGTCCTGTGATAAGTAAGACTGCAAGGCCAGCTGGCATGATGAAAGTGTTGGCTTTTACCCAGCAGCCCTTTTCTACTCAGTAGGGAATTATCTGCCAGGTCTGCCCTGTTCTCCCCTTCTTTTCTCCTTTTTTTAATGCACAGTAGAGACCCTAGGTTTCTCTTAACACCTAACTCCATGCGCTGCTGAATGCATTCTCATTCTCCCAGATTCCCAGCTGGTGCTGTGATTTTGAGAGAGGCTGGAGAGGGGCAATGTACTGTGAGACTCTGCCCTTGTTGACAGCTGAGGAACTTTCCCTTTCTGTGCAGGGCACTATTTGCTGTTACATTATTGCTAATGTCAGCTTTCCACTGAATTCATAGCAGGAGTGTGCAGCAGGAGGCCGTGAAGAAATGTGTGTGGGAAGATTTTGCTGAGAACCCTATGACATTCCCTGCAGCAGCTTTGATGTTCTTTGCCATGTTGTCACTGCTGAACTCTTCTGTACACTGCATCCCTGATGTGCAAGAGTGTGAGACTCTGGGAGTCTCATTCTCCCTTGTCTTCAGTCTGGATAGAGTGGTTATTCATGCTGCTGTCCAGATTTGGGCTGCTAAAAGCTTAGTAGATTGTGGGACAGCACAAAAGCTTTGACATTTTATAGATAGACATCTTACTTTGTTTAACTTTACCCTCTGCTCTTCCAGTTTACATGCTGTCATCCCCTCTGTTTATCCTTACGGAGCTTTCTCAAAGCAGTGTTTCAGAGTCCATTCTTCTCACCCTCTGATCCAAATCCTGCTCACTTCAGTGTGTATCTTCTTGACTCATGAACAGGAGTTAGAATCACTCCTCAGTATTGATCTTTAAGTGCTGACTTCACAAGGCAAGGATGACCACGTGCTTATTTCTGGAGGAAGTCCTTTTCCCTGTAACTGTGAATTCCTAATTACTCTCTTCATGAGTCTTACCCCTCTTATTTTATCATGGGTTCCCCCTTGGTCACAGCGTTACATTTTAAAATGTCCAAATAATAGTTTTCAGGCTCGCTGCTGTGTGCCAGCAGCTGGGCAATCCTGCAGGTAGCTGTTCTAATCCATTCTGGTGTGTTCCATGTTTTTTGAAAAATGAGTTTTCTGGGTACACACCTGGCACTGCAAGCAGTTACAGTAAATGCTGAATAATCTCCTGTCTGCTTTGTGTTGGTCAGAGTTGTTTTTCCAATTCTGTGAAAACTTCTGTGGTTTGTAACATAAGTCTCTTTTCCTTTCTGTCTCTGGTCCAGCCATTTCTTTTGTCTTTTAAGTTGTATGAGGGGTGGAAAGAGGTGTCACCTTACTTTGTGGTGTTGCTGATTTTTCTTGGACCCATTTAATACATAGTTGTGCCATTGTGTTCCTACAAATTTAGAATTGGGAGGTTGTATGGTTATATCTGAGCTGCAGAGCAAAGGCTTTACAACAGATTAAATTATAATAGAGCTGTAGACTCAGCTCTTCCTGGAAGAGTGGCTGCATACAGAGCAGGATTAATGAAATCTGTTAGTGGGAACAAGCTTGTTCCCAACTGTATGCACAAACTTCTATGCCATGACTGCAAATCATATGTATGTTTGGTTTTCATATCAGTGCAGACAGTCAGCATCCTGTTTCTTGAGGATATTGAGTTGAAGAGCTTTTGATCCTGTAACTGTCTGCATCCCTCCCTGCTAAGGAGTGATGCCTTATGGCAGAAGAGCGAGGCAGAGGCTCAGGACAGCACAGCATTTACCTGCCCTTCAGAGAAAGAGGCCCCAAGTTGTACTCTGTAATGACAGCATTAGGTGCTTGTGGGAGTTACAGAGCTCTGAAAGGTAAGAGGTAAGCTTTTTCCCCTGTAAGAGGTAAGCCTTCCTGGAGCAGAAGAGGCATTCGTGCTGCCTGCAGACTTTGTTGTCACCTGTGAAGTCAAAGAGCAGGCATCACTCTTTCATCCCGCTCCCACTTTCTAATGGTGTTATCCAGGACTTGTCAGTGGGGTGTTAGGAACATTCCCCTTTCCTACGAGATTTTGAAGGTGGAAATGCCAACATCATAGAGTAGCTGCAGCAGGAAGAGGATTTGCTAAAAATAGCAAATGAGAACCATAACAAGTAAGTGCAGCATAATTTAGAAGCATCAACAGTCACCTTTCTTTCTTAAGATGGCTTGTCTAATTAATTTTGCAGATTGATCGCATTTCCAAATGCATGGTCCTACCTAGAGACAGCATCTTCAAAAGCAACAGAGGTGCTGAGCTGGGCAGCATTGAGTAGTTAGGGTTGGGCTGCACAGAAGTGGAATATAAAAGCCTGTCTTTGTGTAAGATTAGAAAAAATATCCAAAAATACACTTGTCAGATGTGAAAGAATGGCAGACATGAGATGTTGTAATTTGGAAGTCCCCACATGTGCGCTATTGCTATTTTTTGTCCTTTTTAATTTCCCTGTGTGCCATAACAAAAGATCAGGGTAGGGTGTCTGGGTAAAAGAAGTTGTAGAAAGGCTCCAACCAGTCAAGTCCTTGAAGTATGTACAGTTTGTAACCCCAAAATATACAGTTCCAGCATTTGTGAGAATATCTCCTTTGCGATCATTTCTTTTAAAATAGAACAGTTCCTGGAGCCTAAGGAAGAGGCTGAATAAACCTTTCACGTTGTATGTGCTGTCTGCAGCATCTCATGTGACTCTTGATGATGACAGCTCCTTAATTAACGAGCAGAGCCCTCACAGAGTTGGTTCAGGCACGAAATGGGCTCTGTTTGGGAAATGTGGATGCCATAAACCTTATGCTTTCAGTGAGTAAACATGCAGCTGGTGCTCAGCCTGTGTGTGGCTTTGTGCTGGCAGGGACACCAAGAGTGTCCATCAATAACATCGATGTTATTTGGAAGTTTTGAGGAGTGGTGGTTCTAAAAGAAAACCAAGCCATAAGCTCTCCAGCTCAGTTTATCTAAAATGCATCATTACACAAAATTAAAATATCAAAATACTTGTAGGCTTTATAGAATTGCAACATTTTGCATGGGATTCACTAAGTACAGCTGCTGTGTCAGAACTCTGCGCAGCTGTTCAGAGAGAGCTCTGCTCTGTTGTAATTAAATAGCTTGTAGATGAGGATATTGGATCCTTTGGCTTCTGCTGGGATTTTGGCTTTACTGCAGTTCTTAATTAAGGGAGAAGAAAACGATTAGGAAGAGGGTGTATAGGGCAAGAAAGGCTTAGGGTCTCTTGGAAAAGATGTTCGACCACTTGTAGGACTGGCCCCAAAGGAGCAGAGTAAAGACTGTACTTTACACAAAGATCTTTGGAAATGTAATTTCTTCTTCATTAAGCTGTTGTTTGTATCAGATAAATTTCGGAAGGGGGATCACACATGAACCCACCAAGTTCTGTGCTGTACAACACAGCTGGAGGATGCAGATCTTCAGTATAAAGATAAAATCAGGGTTGAAATCTGGCAAGTGTTTTAATTGCAATTGTCTTGTTGTGATGCAGTGATGCCTATGCAGCCCTGTCCATTTGAAAACAAGGTGGAAGATTAAATCTGTTAACAGCTGGGCCATCTGAATTATTTTTTTAGACAGATTAGAACAGTTTGGGGCTGGAGAGCCTGAAATTAATCTAAAAAGGATCGGGCACTTAAGAAAAGTAGTTCTGGTAAGCAAGTAATGACATATCCTCCAAAGCAGCTGTGGAAATGGTTGAGAGCTGGGGCTCATCAATTTGCTGGAGATGGTTTTGCAAGAAATCTCTGTGTGTCTGGCTTGACTGTCTCTGTTCCCACTCCTTCCCCTTCTCCACAGTTTCTCAACAAAGTGAGTGATTTGCACCATGGGCCAGGCAGAACCAGAGGGCTCAGAGATAAAAAGGAGGTAGAAGGGAGTTATGTTTCCATCAGCAAGATTCAGGGACCCAGAGCAGAGCTGAAGGGGGTGCCGTGAGTCTGACAAACATGGGGTGACTGGACTTCTGCTCGGCTTCTCTTTGGCAATCCCACTGGAAAACAGGATAAGCCACGTTTATGAAGGATGCAGTGGACCTCACTTTTCAAGCCCTTGTTGCATATGCTGGCTGTGAAATGACACACTTGCTGTGCTTTTTCCTTGCAGCAATATCAGAACCAGTTATTTCAACAAACAGAAGATGTGGATGGGAAAACAGAAATCATCATCAAGGTAAGCTCTGGTTGAGTCGTTTTTTAGGAGGAGTCCTTTGTCTTGTTGCATTTAAAAGTCCAGAAATCATATATTCTGTGGCTGGCCTCATCTTCTGAGCCTTCCCTGGCAGGACACATGCTCTGCTCTGGCAAAGTGTGTTCTATTTCCGTGTTTTCACAGCCTCTTATGGTCCTCTGGAAAGGTTAGTCAGTCTGAGGCACCTCCAAGTAATGGCAATGCAGCACCAACTGGTTTTTCCTTTTTGCCCTGTAAGCTGGGTTTCAAGCCCTCTTTCGGTAGCCTCCGTTTATGGCTGTACATCAGGAACACGACTGTGGTTCAGTCACACCATCTGCTAATTGTAGGTACTGGGATGTGCTGTGAGCCAGTGGTGTGATGAGCTCGGTGCTGAGCATCAATGAGCATCGGGCGCCAATGACTGGGATGGTAGTGCTCAGGAGAAAAGCGAGTCTGCAGCACTGAGTTGTGCTTGTGTTGGGCACTGCACTGATGGTGCTTCTCAAGCTGAGAAAAGTTTCCTGTGCCAGACTAGCTCTGATGTGCTAATAATGTGTCAGTAACTTAATGAGCTGGGAACGGAATGTTCTGCAGCGTACTTACTTTTGTGATAAAAAAATAATCAGATTTTCATTCTTCCGAAATTTCAGCTTTCCTGCTGTGCCAATCAAGGGATGGCCAATCAAAAAAATGGAGATCAGCGAATCTCCACCTAACGATACAGGCTATGTTAATTGATGTCACCAGCCTAAGACTAAATTGCTAGACACAGAAGCATCCTTTAAAAACCAGATGTGATTTTCAATCTCTGTATGCTACCTCATCCTCTGGGTTTAAGTCTTGTGCTCCTCTTACAATCTTATGTTTACTCCTCTGCCTTCTGCTTCACTGCAGTCACCCCTCCGTTGTTGTTCCCTCTGATGTGGTCCCTTTGCTTCTTGTTTTCACAGCAGTCGTGTGTCAACTGTGGCCGCGAGGCAATGAATGAGTGCACGGGATGCCATAAAGTCAACTACTGCTCCACTTTCTGTCAGCGAAAGGTACAAGAGTGTCTTTGAGTTGCAGGTGGAGCCGTGCAGAGGGAACACATGACACTGGAGTCAGCCTGCGTGCGGGCTGAGGGCGCAGCACAGGCAGGAACGTGCTGTGGAGTAGGGGGTCACTGTGAGCCAGGGTGCGGTGCTGGGGTGGGTCAAACAGGTAAGGATCAGCCCCAAGATCTGCACACCCCTTCTGAAAGAGGATGTCAAAGTGTGAGTACAACCAGCAGTGAGGCGTGGGCACCTCACTGTGGAAACTGTGGGGTGAGCTTAGTGGGAGTGTTGTACAAGCCCTCCCAGCTGCTCCCTGGAAGCTGCATGCTGCTCAGTACCTCTGATCCTGTGCCACTGAAGCTGCAGTTTTCTTATTCTTCAACTTATTATTTGTACTGGTATGGATGATAGGATGAATTGAGCGCACACAAACTGTATAACTTTAAAATGGGAGGTAGAAACAGGTAAGAAGAGGAAGCTGCAAGGCTTTGTGTTGCTCACAGGTTCTTTACAAAGACCCTTGGCACCTCTTGCTTTAGAAGAGAGGATAATCTGGTTTAGCTACAGCCTCTGCGACCTGTCCAGGTTCATTCTTTGTCAACTGAACAGAGCAGCTGAAGAATTTTGACTGTTTCTTTGGCCTATACCAGAGCATAATGATGGCCATCCCTGCACAGCAGGAAGGCTGAAATTTCAGAAGAATGAATGATTCCTTCTTGCAGATAAATGACAAAATCTGCCTACTGTCCCCAAGCATCTCGAAGACAGTATTTTCACCCCATTGTTCTGTCATTATGAAACGTGCTGGGAAATGTCACCAAGGGGTCATGTGCTGGTCTCCCTCTGAGGCAGCTTATAACTGCTCCATGAAGATTCAGCCTTTAAAGGGAGCTTACAGACGAGAGGGAGAGGAACTTCTTACACAGGCAGATAGTGATAAGAAAGGGGGGTTGGTTTTAAACTAAAAGAGGGGAGCTAAAGGTTAGATGTGAGGAGGAAATTCTTTACTCATTGGGCAGTGAGGCCCTGGCATGAGCTACCCAGAGAAGCTGCAGGTACCCCATCTCTGGGCTGTTTCTTCATGGCCTCTCCATCTGCTCTTCTCTGCAGGACTGGAAGGAGCACCAGCACATCTGTGGTGAGGCCAACGCGGTGACAGTGCAGGCTGATGATGTGCATGTGGCAGACAATGTGATGGAGAAGGTCTCTGTCTGAGCACACCTACCTCTGACCCCATGGCAGTGTGGTGCAGCCGGCTGGATCGGCGGCCTGACGCAGCGGTCTGTCCTTTACGAACAAACTCATTTCTGAAAGACTTTTTCATACTGTGACAGTGTTTGCCTACTTCCAGTCCTACTGCAAACCTCTGGATAATGCAGAGACTGAGAAATCCAGGTGGAAGAGGCAAACTGCAGCCTTCCATCCGGGAGCCTCCTCCAGCTTGAGGAAGCTTAGATTTTGCCAGACTGAAATCTCCACTGTGTGGATAACAAGAACCTCATCGTCTCTCTTGAGATGGATTAAGAATAGTTGCTGCAATTAGATTTGCTGTTGTTCTGTTTTCCCCATGCCTCCCTACCTCTTATTTGAAAAAAGGAATGATCCCTCATTTGGTTTATTTAATTGCCTTGAAAAAGTACAAACTCTTAATTTGCCTTTGGAAGGACTTTGTTTTGTTTTGTTTATCTGTGTTCCCTCTGTGCTGGAGAAATTTGGAACACACTGGAGCTTCTGCACTTGAATATGACTGAAAAATCACATCTTGTTCAATAAAATTTGATAAAAGCACGTGAACAAATGCAGCATGTGAGGGGTGCTTCCGCAGGGAGTTTTGCACAGAGAGGTGTTGGCTCTTAGTCTTCGCAGGACATCAGTGTGGATATGATGTGGCAGTGGGGAGGAGCAACTCTCAGCACGGCAGCATGCCCTGACTGCAGCGCCAAAATTCGAGCAGCCCCCAGGTAAGAGTGCACAGAGAGCTCTGGCCTCTCACTGCTGCTTAGTAGCTCCTAATTAAAGCAGTGGTGAGCATTAAGAGGTTATTGGCTTTTTTCACTACTCCAAAATGCTTTAATTAATAACATGCTGCTTTGATAACTTAGGCTATGGTTGCTATTACTAACTTTCTAGTTGCTCACTGAGGTGAGTTTTCATCTTGCTGCTGAGATTGAGCACCAGTGCTGGTGGAAGGAAGGTAGCAGTGTGCCACCCTCCTCTGAAGGAAACCATTCCTTAGTGGGAAGCCCAAGCATGAGCTTTGCGGGCTGAGAACAGAAATCACACACAGAGTACTCTGGGGAGGAAAACAGGCAATTCTGTAGAAACCCATCGCAAGCAACGTACCCACTGTTCAAGCTTCCCCAAAGTCATTCTTCAGTATTTGCAGTCATTTCTTCTTACACGACGAGTGCCAGTTAGAAAACTCTTTAAGATAATTACTTAATGGAAAAGATGCTCTTAACTGAACCCACAACAGTACAACTAATTTACTAGGTTTCTTGCCTCCATCTATTGTGCATTGAGGTTCTGACTAAAAGAAGCAGTGCGTCGTGCTGAACACCCTGTGCTGTTTGGTTTAAGCACCTATTTGTTCTCAGCTGCATCTTGCATTCTCCCCAGAGGAACATCTCTGCAGAGCAGTGCTGGGCTGGGAGAAGAGCTGTGTGTTGGTTCAGGGACAACTGCAGCTACACAAAGACATGAGCTCAGCCATACCTCATCCATGCTTGCCAAACCCACGTTTGTGCAGATAACTGAGCAGCAATTTATACCAGTGCAAAAAGCTCTCCAGTATCGTCACTACGCAGCTTGTGGATGAGTGTATCTAATGCTTTGGTTACAGTCAGAATTTTGTTTTTATTGCATCTTCTGATTAAGGAGATTCTGAAGAGTGTGAGTGGGACAAGAGTCCTAAATGAAGATGTGTAGGTATGACTCATGTGTGATTAAAGTTCTCTAGAAGCTTCTCATCAGGGCCCTGGCATCTGGGGGAGCTACCCCCTATAGCACACTGAACTTGTAAGACTGCATTATAATTGTTGTAGCAACATAAGCTGTTTATTTGTCGATGATAAATTGGCGAAGCAATCGTTATCCTTAGTCGAAGAAAACCTCCAGACCTCCCAGCAAGTCTTTTATTTCTAAGCACACAAATTACCCCTTGGAAAGCAACAGCCCTGCATGAAAATCATTAGTCAGAAGATTGCCATGCTGTGCAATATCCACTGTCTTGTGGGGTCTCTTGATGTCTACATCAAGCACCGAGTGTTAAAGAAGCGGCGACGCCTGCAGCTTCCAGTGGGGGGAATATCCAAGCTGTAACCACTGCACTCACCTGTAACTCCTCGCAGTGGGGACAGGGCTGGGAACCACCGTCCTCCAGCTGCCATCCTGGAACCATCTTTCTTCTCTCCCTCCTCCCCAACAAAGACAGCAGACCTTAGGCAGAAATAGATCTTTAATGAACTATACAAAGTTATCCTGGTTGTTCCCTCCAGTTCCGTGAGCTCAGCAGAAAAGGTGCAAGACTTTGCGGAAGAAGTTCCTGAACTCGGCGTTGAAAACGGTGTAAATGATGGGGTTGACAGCGCTGTTGACGTAACCCAGCCAGGTGACGATGCTGGTGACTTGAGTGGGAATGGTGCAGGACTTGCAGAGAGCCCTCGTAATGTGGACCACAAAAAAAGGTGTCCAGCAGAAGAGGAAAGCACCTGGAAGAAGAAAATTAAAGAGAGAAAGCATTGTGTTAAAAAGGGTTGGAGTTAACAAACGCAGAGCTACGATCTCTCCATGACAAAAATTTTGGTCAACTTCCTAAATGTTAGTGAAGAACAGGTGTAAGTTGTGTGTCGTTTTTGGGTTAGCAAGAGTCACAAAGCTGACAGCTGAAGTGAAGGTTGAATTAAAAACACCCTATGTGTGTTTTTTCCCAGGAGTGATGCTACTCTGGATCAAAGGGAGACTGAGGCACTCCCTGGACCGGGTTCAACAAAATCCTAAACCCTGTCGGGCCACACAGCACGTTTCTCACCGTCCTCGACCAGCCTCTGCCACCGGCCACTCACCAACAACCACAGGCAGTACCCTCATGGCCTTCCGTTCCCGGCCGTTGATCTTGGCCCGCTTCTGACTGTGCGCCGGGTGTGGGTACTTGAGGTGTGGGTAGGAGACAGTCTGGAGCCCATTGCTCATCACATAGTCCCCAGAAAGGGGGTGCTCAGGGTGCATATAACGGTGGTACTCGTCCGGCTCCGTGCCAACCCGCTCTCTCTCAATGAAGGGTGAGGGGTGATAGAGCATTCTGTTGCCCCCGTAGATGCCACCCCTTAGCTTGGCCTTCCTGGCTTCTTCCCAGCGCCTGAGTCCTTGGAACATGGCGCAGTAGAGCACCAGCATGACAGGGCAAGGGATGAAGAAGGAGCAGATGGAGGAGTACACAATGTAGTTGTCATCCTCCAGCTGGCACAAGCTGGGGTCCCGGTTCGGGACATTGTTGAGGCCAAATATGACTGGGGATGCCACAGCAAAGGCGAATATCCACGTGGTGGAGATGAGGATCAGCTGCCGCAGGTCGACCTGTCGCCGGTTGTAGTTCAGCGGGACTGAAACAGCAATAAACCTGCCAACACAGGTGGGTCGGTGCTTGTGTGAAGGTGGCACCACTAGTAGGGTAAGGTAAGAGAATGGCAGCAGCTTGATGCTGAGACATGAGCCCTCTCCTCTGGCGTAAGGAGGAGGAAGGCACTTACCGATCCACACTGATAGCACAGAGGTTGAAGATGGAAGCTGTGCACAGCATCACATCCATGGTCATCAGGGCATCGCAGAGCACAGTGCTGAGGGACCACACGCCACCCTGAAACTTAACGACAAGATCCCTGGTCAGTAGGTGCCTCTAATGTGCAGGGAAACAGCTCTGCATATAAGTGTATAAAATGCCCCCGGGAGCATCCTTTGGGCAGGGCTTGTCCCCTGACTTCTGCTCCTGTGTTCCTGAGGTACATCTGTACCCTGTGCCGGGTACCAGGAGGCCAGCACTACTGGCCAGGGACCAAACCAAAGGCTTCTTCTCCCAGCTGTGGCCCCAAGCAGCACCACTGGACTGAAGGTTTCCAGTTGTGCTGTGTTTCTGAACCAGCCTTTGAGACAGCTCTGTCTGGCGCTCCAGCAGAGATATTAGGGTTGAAATTCCCTCAGGGCTCTTCCTGCTTGAAGCACAGTCTTTCTAAGTCCGGTCCAAGCACTTTGTGTCTCCCTGTGCTCTTTGGGTGTCCAGCGACCTGTGCAAACTTGAGGTTTTTGACATTCATGGTCCTCCCCATTCGCATTTCCAGGAGCAGGCACTCTCCCGGATTAGTATCAGTCAGCACTGATGTCACACACAGGATTATGATTAGTGGAGCTGCAAAGCCAAAGGAGACTGGAGAAACTGTTGGGCTATTTTTATACACCCATCTCCTTGAGAGGCCCCATCAGCTTCCAGAAGAACACTGGAGTCAGACCTGGGAGTTTCATTTGGGCTTTTCTCTAGGGCAGATCAGCTGCTTCAAGCAGAATTTGGGAGCTGAATCCTGAAACACAACCCTCACATTTTTTACCAAAGCTTCACCAGGATCCTGTCCAGTTTCATTGGAGAAAATTTGACTCTGGGCTGTGGTGTTCAAAACCCATTTGTGGTTTCATGGAATGAATGGGTTCTGAACAGGCCCTGAGCTGCTGACCTGCAGCACCTTCCAAGGACTTCCAAGAGCTTTCGCTGTGGAGCTGGAGTTGGGCGCCCTGGAAGTTGAGCACTCCCACAAAATGTGCCCGGAATCCCTGTGGTGGAGGAGTGACTTTGGATTAGAGGCAGAGCTGGCTTTGCTTGGTCATGTGGCCGAATGGTACCTCATTACAGCAGGTTGCAGAAGATTAGCCCATCAAGGTACACAGTGTAAAGCTTTACGGATCACAAACAGCTCAAGCTGCCTTTAACAAGTGCTCCAGAACAACTCTAATTTTTTTTTCCCCCCACATTCTTTGCTTTTTTTTGCATGAGACCCTCCATTTTTTTTCCCAGTAGTGCTGGTGCTGAGAAGAGACAGCCAGGCAGTTGCACAGTAAAGCATGCAAGCTGTCTTCCTTACCAAAATAAAACAAAGCTGCAAATATAACACCACAAGCCAGCCTATGTCTTTTGTATGGCATTCTCTGCACAGATCTGGCAAGGTTTCATGTACTTTTATTTCATGTGATAAAAATACATGCTTCTCTCTGTTGCCACACAGGAGCTTCATAGCTGTCCTCTTGCCAGCCCTGTGAGGAGGCTCAATGGGAGCACGTGAAGAGGACTTTGGCGGGGATGGCATCCAAAATACAATGCTCAGAAAGTAGCAGGCTGCAAATATTAGGAGGTTGTCGAATCTTAACATTGCTAAGGTTGGAAAAGACCTCTAAGATCCCTCACCCACCCCCACCCTGTCCCTCAGTGCCACATCTCCACTTTCTTGGAACTCCTCTGGGACAGTGACTCTACCACGCTTTTGGCAGCCTGTACCAATGCATCACCACTCTTTCAGGGGAGAATTTTTCCCTAATATCTGACCTGAGATGCCCAGCTGGATTTCCAGGTACCTGCCTACCATCAGCAAGGCTGACAGAACCATCAGTTCAAGGGTGTAACACGGAGAAAGTGCTGATTGAAGAGCTCGAGCCTGCTGAGAAGGATGTGGCACCAGCAATAATCCTGGTGTGTGAGTGCAAAGTCCACTACATCTGATTCCATAAGTTTCCTGAATGTCCAGAGGAAGCTGACTGCCTCTGCTTCTGCTCTGCGGGCAGAGTGCCTGCTGGAGAGAATCATCTTCTCCGACCTGTAGAGGTGCAGGGTAAGAGTGCAGAGCTGCTAAAACTGTCTTCTCTTTTTCGTAAATGCTTATACGGATCTTAGTGGCAAAGATGTTTACATAACTGTACCTCGCACAGCTCCTGCCAGCAGCTTCCTGGCTCGGCCCCATTTCATGGCTCAGGCAAGGATTAGGGAAGGAGCTGAGCAGGGCGAAGCAGGTAGGAGGCACAGCTACAGCTGAGCAGCATGACTGTAGACTGAAAGCTCAGTTTTCCATGCTGGTTGGAAGATCAGAGCTGACCAAGGACAGCGATGTTTGGATTGAGGGAAGACGAGCTTCATCACATCCATTTCAACACCCCCAAGTATTAACCTGGGCTGGTTATTTACCTAAGGCAGGTAAAGACACCGAAGGATTACAGTGCAGAACTGATAGTTTTGAACAGGCACTGAAGTGAGTGCACTTAAAGGAGCATCGTTGCTAAGGCACAGGCAGGGCAGCTCAGGCTTCTAAAGCTCACCCAGGGCTGACCATCCATCCTGAGCATTCAGCTAGTGTCTGTCATCCCCAGGGAGACATCCACAATGCTCTGGCCAGTTGGAAATGCTTCTCAGGGGCACAGCAGGGTATGTCAGCTGGGGACAGGAAAGGGGAAAGGGGAAGGGAAGAGGAAGAGAAGGGCAGAAGAACGGCAGAAACCCAATCAGCAAGAAATAGCTAAGAAGAATGATAAAACACAGAGGCTTCCTAAGGACCAAAATTGAGACATGCAGGGAAAAGCAAATGCACCCAGCCCAAGCAGTATGGCAGGGCTCTTCTTGGTGCAGTGGAAAGAGGGGGGAATCTCTTACACTCCTGTTTGTCACTGGTCCTTACGTGTCCCTAGCAGAACGTGTGCCTCTAGAAGAGCTCTGGGGAGACAGGTCACAATGTCCCAACAAATCCTAGGACTAGGTAGAGGGACTAAAAGCATCCTAAGCTCTAATCTGCTGCCTTCCTTGCTTAAGAAAATATAGGTCCAGCCCTGGTGTAGGAGAGGAGAGGAGACACTCATGCTGGGACACAGCCAGTGTGATCCTGTGCTGGCTTTCAGGGACAGGAATACCACTCTGCCACACGACAGCCCCTTCCATCCCTTAGGAAGCTCTTACAAATCCTATGGCAATGAAAAATCACACTTTCAGGAAAGTTCACTGACAGCCATCCTGAGCCTGCAGGTACAGCTTTCTGGGGCTGCTCCCTCTACATGGCATTACACCTCTGCTCTTCCCACATCTGAAAAGAGGTCCTCTGTCTTCTACACTCCCAGCTACTGCAAGAATAGGTGCAAAAAGTCAGCTCTTTTGGCCTATGGGTGCTTTCCTCCATTTGTCTGAGGACTGATAGAGTTGCGATGGGAGCAGGGAAAGCCACGTGCAGGTCCAACAAACCCTTCTGAAATAGCAGGTTGGGCCAGGAAGAGGAGCAACAAATCTCCCTGCAATCTCAAAGCATCATCAGTCCTCAGGCAGAATCAATTTATTTCTATTTCACAACAAGACGCAAAACCACTCAGGAGCACCTGAATTGCACACTCCTACCTCTCGCTCCTGCTTCCCTTTCCCTCAGCTGTCATGGTCTCGGAGGGGAGCAGGTTTCAGAGGTGACTCCAAGCCTGCCAAACAGAGCACACCAGCCAGGAGGAATCAAACAGGAAGCCACCAAAGCCACTTCAAGGGTGACCACATCTCTAAAGAGGCAGCATCCCCTCCTCAACTTGTCACGGCAATCTGCTACTTGGCTAAAGACCTCCTCACAACCCGACTCACAGCAGCCAGAATACAGCATGGGAGCTCACCATCTCTTCCTAAACATTGGCTGATGGCAAATTGGGATGCTCGCAGTGCAGCGGCTCCCAGAGCAGATATCCCAGGGCACTGGGGCTTGGGGAATTTGGGGATCAGGACATTTGGGGCTTGGGGTTTGGGAGCTTGGGACATTTGGGGCACTGGGTCTTGGGACCTTGTGGGCATCAGGGGGGCATCCAGGGCAGCCAGGACAAGGGGGAGTAGCCGTACTTGTGCAGAGCCAACTGCTGTCACCTCCAGCGGTCCAGGACGCCAGCAGGGACGGCAGAACCGCCACCCCTCCCCCGTTCCCTCTGCCCCCCCCCCCGAGCATCTCTCACCTCGGAGTAGACGTAGAGGGGCAGGACGAGGAGGGCGAGCAGCAGGTCGGCGACGGCGAGGCTGACAATGAAATAGTTGGTGGTGGTCTTGAGCGCCCGCTCCGTGCACACACTGAGGCACACCAGCCCGTTGCCCCCGACGATCAGCAGGATGAGAACGATGCCCAGCACCAGGGCGGCGATGTTGTGGCCGGCCGGAGGAGGAGGAGGAGGAGGCGGCGGAGAGGTGCCGTTGCACGGGGCGGCCCCGGCGCTGCCGTTCCCCATGGCGCCGGGGCATGGAGCCGCCGAGCCGCCGCCTCCCCGGCTCAGCCCCCCGCGGCAGGGAGAAGCGAAGGCGCTCCGCCGGCTCCGAACTTTGCGAGGTGATGGGAGGAGCCTCCCCCGGGCCGCCCCGGGACAGTAAGCGGCTCACCGGGATAAGGCGGGGGGGAAAGGGAGTGACGAAGGGGGGCTGTGAGATCCGTTCCAGCCCAGCCGTGCCGTGCTTGTGTGCTTCGAACACAGCCGTCTCCCCTGTCATGAGCCTGGCTGCGCTGATGGGAGTTAGGAAATAGCGGAGGCATCGGTCCCACAAGCGCTGCGCTGCGAATACGGCGGTGGATCAAAGCGCTGTCGGATCTTAGCAAAGCCTTGACAAAGCTAGAGGAGAAAAAAACACACACACACAAACCGACAGGTCTTCAAGTAGAAAATTGTTTCAAGTTAGCCTGACCTGAAGATTTTCCCCAGGAGATTCAAAGCACTGATACCAACGGTGATGAGAGAAATCATTGCTCTGATCTCCAAGAGCATTTGAAGGACTGTGAAGACTCTGGAAGTGCAGAAAATGGCAAACGCTACCTCTTTTGAAATGGAGAGAGTCAGGAGATCAGGGAACTAAAGAGCAATCTGTGTTGTTTTTAGTAGCAGATCTTGTTCAATGATTTCCCTATGAGGAGTTGATGGGGGAGGGTATTGGTTGTGGGGCACTGAGATGTCCCGACCTGATCCCTTTGCCCCCTCAGAGGGCATATCACTGCACTGACCCCTGTGCTGGTGGAGAAACACACTGCATTTCTAGCAGAGCCAGAGGCTGGGGAAGGACAGGAGGGCTGTGACCCCCATTTCTAGCTCAGGTGGGCTGGGAGATGTGAGACCTCATCCTCCATCAATGGGCATCTTTCCAGCTGTGCTGCCAAACCTCTGCTCAGCCACTGACCATCCCATCCTGATCAGCCTTCTGTTGCGGAAGGCAGCAGGAAGGGAAGGCGTTGCAAGAAAGGATCATTTACACCAGAAAGAAGGGGGAAACTGCATTACTGCCTGCTTTTTATGAGACAAGAAGCTTCTCAGAGCTGCTAAAACGTCCAGATATCACTTCCATCTAACCCAGGAGGAGACTGGCAGAAAATTCCTCGCTCCAGCCTTCTCTGCCCCTCATCCCCAAATTCCTTTACTTTTGTTTGAAAGACACAATCAAATCCTCAGCATCTGCAGCATGGGAAAGCCAGAGCCCCATTTCCAGCAGCGAGGACTTGGATCTCAGTTCCATCCTTGCCCTGCAGCTAACAGCACTTAATCCCACTGTTTTACCCAGCTGCTTCAGGCTCCGGAGCTGCATATGCGAGAAGGAGAAAATTACCTTGGCTTACGTACTCAGCGGGCACTCTGCCTCGCTAAATATTGTCCCCAGAGATGTGATTTCCAAGCTTTTTTCCAAAATCAACAGGAGCATCATCTCTTTGGGAGCTGCCTCCTACCCCTGGCATAGCATTGCCATTTTCCCGTTGATCCCAATCCCTGCGTGTGAGTCTGTTCTGCTCCTTGGAGATGACCCAACTTTGATGTGGAATTAAACCTGCAAGGCAGAACAAAGCTCTGTCCTGCTGGCTCCCTGCCAGTCGCAGAGGGATTCCTTCAGGCCTTCCGCTCTGCCTGGAGCTTCCACGTTCCTCTGGAACAATTCACCTCCTGCACAGGTGGGCACAAACAGGCCTGCTCATCTCTCAGGTCAAGAAGAGCTGGTTTGGCAATATCACTTGTAGCAGAGCCCTTCTGGGCTCCAAGGAAACAGTTCAAACTAGTCAGGGGAGGCCTTGAGGTGCATTAGTGGAACTGTGGACAGAGTGCCCTTAATTTATTTCTATTTAACCACCCTGAGCAGCACAGGGATCAGGACTGAATTGTAACTGCAGACCTTCTGCCTTCCCACAGGAATTAATGCCATTTGTCTAACCTACTTTAACACTCAATTTGTATTAATTATCTTGATTTTCCCCGTGGGTTAGCACAGGATGGCTCTAAACTGCGTGGAAGTCCTTTTGCCAGGCTAGCGGTGCTTTAATCCTAGACCAGTTTAATCCTGGAGTAGATTAATCTAATGTGAAATATATCTTTTGACTTCCAAAAGAGAGCAGCCGTGCAAGGCGCTTATTAGGGCAGTTCTTCCAGTGCAAACTCCCAGGCTACAGCAATGCTTGCCCACTGCTTCTAAGTCCAGTGGTTTCTCTGTGTGTGCTGCCTGCAGCGCACCCTTAGCAAAACAGCGGTTGTAAACCACATCCCCAGCTCCATGTAAGCAGTCGTGAGCTAGAAGGTTTTGGTGGCTTTGCTGTGAGTGTCCCCAGAAAGCTTTCTCTTCTCTGCTAGTAGATTGGAGCATTAGACACAGTCCATTGCTTGGATAAGAGGAACTGTGCTCATAGCAGAAGAAACAGGGTAACATGTCAACGCACCCAAAGAAGTCATCTCATGTCACTGCAAAAATAAAAAACACAAAAATGCGAACAGCAGAGCTGTGTGTCACCCTTGCAGTAAGCAAGAAGCATCATTAGGCATCCCTGCCAGGGCTGGGATGTTTGAGTGATGGATGGTGAATATTTAAGAGCACTTTTGAAGAGTTCCTGATGAGATAGGTAATTTTGAACAATGTTTTTTTTTGCCCGGGTATACAGCTTGCAGAGTGTCCTTGTTAACCAGGCACACCGTCACATCCTTTGGGCTCAGTCCAAGGGTTGGAGAGGTTGTGAAATCACCTGCAGCTATTTTTCTTGATATAAAAAATAGTTTATTCTGAACTAAGCAGGCACTGTGAAGGACACAAGGGGTGAACAGCAGCACATTTCTTCCAGCAGAACCACCCCAGCGTCACATAAGACCAGTCCATCAAAGAACCATCTGCCCATACTGGCTCTTTCCCTTGCACCAGGAAGGCAAGAGACCCTCTGCAGATTCACACTGAGTCTTCAATAACAAGACTCTGGTGTTCAGTATTTTCCAGGACCTCTTCCTTTCCTTCTTTGCAACCACAGCTTGTGGCATGCAAGGACTTTGCTAGAGAGTGCAATGCCACCATCACTGCCCAGCAGCCAGCTCTGAGCTCAACCCCAGCAGGGAGCCAAGGAGGCAGAAGGAGAACCCCAAAGGCTCCCCAGGCTCAGGTTACAGCGAGTCTGCTTTGTTAATCAGTTCAATGGACCAGGGAGGTTGCCTGTGAGACATGATGTCTCAGAATGTCCCAAGGCACTTAGAACTTTGATCACTGTGGTTGTTCAAGCCTGAGGTACTGAATTTTTACGTAGAAAAGGAGAACAAAATTACCTGTCAAAATTTCAGCACAGATTTGCCTGAAGTCAGCTGTTGAATAGTACCCTGATAGCTGGGCAACACATCACTGAGGCTGTCTTCAGGTTCAGAACAAAGGGAGGAAAATAAAGAGCTTTTACAGCCAATCCTATTCCTTTTATTTGACATATTTAGCTGAGTGATTCTCTGTGAAAGTACCATCCACAGCGAAACTGTCCTGCTTCGCAATCTGCCTGTAATGCATTTCCAAGAAAAGAGACCGAGACAGTGTCCTGTCTTTCAGGGAGGGAAGAAGACAGCAGAGCTCTCTGGGCTTCCAGCCTCTCCAAGCCCCCCATCCAAGAAGCTACAGGGATGTAAATCCATGTAAGTCATAGAATCTTATGCATTTTTAATGGTGATTAGCTGTGGGAAAGAAGCTACAGAGAAGGCAGGGAGATTTACTGTCTCTTTTAGCTTATAATCACATCTAGATGTTTTTGTGGGTGCCTGGCTTCAGACTAAGCCATATAATTGATCTCATACAAGGGTAACCTCCTGAAATACAAGGGCTTGTGTCACAGGATGGATCAAATTAATGTACCTTGAGAGCCCCTCCTGCCCTTGAAACATCAGTGAGCTTACTGGGGCTATTCCCTAAGAAAAAGCTCCTGGGAAGGAGACGTGTATGGTATCAAACAGGCATGGAAAGGCACACCTGTGATCAGCAAGAGCCTCAGAAGGAACTTATCTCACAAACCCTGTCAGGTCCCTGACACCTGACACCAAAATGACATCCAGGTGTTGGGAGCTGCCATGCTCACTGCTGGCACCGCACACCTGGAACAGCTGGGCCGGGCCACCCGCCAGCTAGGTCATGGAGCATGTTATCTTTATACTTAAAATTAATTCCCCAAAGTACTTTCTCCTCTTCCCCAGACACAGCAAACAGCTGGAGGCTGAGATTACAGATGCTGATGCCAATTAGAGCTGTGGCAAAGCCAAGCGCATGGGGATCATTAGCGCAGAGCTCTGCTGCAGAGAGCCTGTGCTCAGAGCTCCTCTGCATTAAGGAACAAGGCAGTGTCCAGTTGGGAAAAGCCATGCCAGACCAAGAGCCCAAGGACAGCCTGGGCAGCCCTGTCCCTGCACGTTGTCGTCCCCCAAGCAGTTGGATAAGGGATGGCTTGGCTTGCTCCCAAAGCATCTCTCATCCCAGTCCCTTGGGAAAGCAGTACATTTGCCAGCATGCTAGATGAGACGTACCATCACCCCCCTCCTCCCAGCTCTTAGCAAAACATTCAAAGGATTTTGTTTTTCCTGTGCGTGTCAAGTCCCTAATACTTTATTCCTAAAGAACTGGATTTTGTGGCAGGTTTCACCCAAGGGTTTGGCTCAAAGCAGATATGGCTTTGATCCAAATAGCTGAGGTCTGCTCTAGCACTGCCCAAATCTCTTCACACAAAGGTTTTGCTGTCCTTCCCCACAGGTACTGCTGTCAATTTCAGAGATAACTAGCATGTCCAGCATCTTCCAGACTTCAGAGCAAATGGGCACACTTTCAGGAATGTGACATCTTATGCCAGTGATTTCCTCTCATCCCCCATATTTAACTTTGTTTTTAAGCAGGTGCAACCCTGAAGAATGATACGCCAAAGCACAGCACATCTCTGCCATGCCTTTCTGGACTCTGCTGCCCAGAAGAAAGCAGGAAGGCATAA